CTCCTAAGCTTTCCAGTATAAGCTCCACATCTCCAGCTTTTCTCAAACTACTTCCTTTACTTCTGTATCTTATCAGGAACTTGTTTATTTCACAACCAGCCCTCTTTAGTCTCCCAATGTTTCACCCCCTGCTTGAAGGTGGACCTGGATTATTTCAGACCCTTAATTCACTTTCCAACCATTATCTCTATCCCACAACCAAAGTACCTACCTTGAAGTGCATATTAACTCATTGCTTTCTTAGTTCTATCAGGTCATTGGTCATTCCCTGATACTAATCTGAAGGCTTTAGCTCTGAAATTAGTTCCCCTCCCCATGTCTATCCAACATTTTATCCGACTTCTGTGTCCATGAGGATGGATAATCCTGTACCTTAGCCACAGAGCTTCTTGACATAACTCAGTGTATTTCCAGTATCCCTAGCCTTTACTCCATCTCAGCCAGCTGCTGCATGGCCATACCCTAAACTTTGTTATGACCTGAATTACTCAATATAAAAAAAACAAAACTCGAATATTATGCCTCATGGCCTCATCCTTAGCTTTACAGATCTCTTGCTTCCTCACTACCACAAACAAGGTTTTTGACCTAGTGTAATCCTTTGCTCTCTATTTTCTCTTTGTCTTGCATCCTCTTCAGCCATATTTACTTCTATATTAAACTCTCAAACTCATGGTTGAGCATGCGAACCAATATGTCATTGATATCCTACTAGTTTTTTCCCATTCTGTCTTCCCCACCCCACATCCTTCAGGTGCACATTCACAATCCCAGAATGGTTTGCCACTCATTATTCTGACAAATCTTTACTGAGGACCTGATATATATAATCCTAGAACTTTTCTAACCATTAGAGAAACTGCAATGCAGTGGGCAAAGCTATTGTTAGAGGAAAGATAATTAATTCGACAGCAGCAGATAACAATATGAGCTGTGAAGAATATAAAATGGAATGATATATGAAAGTGCTAAAAAGGCCACTTTAGACTGGAAAGTTCTTTTGCCTCAGATTGAGAAGGCCACTTTGAGGACATGATGAACTAAGAATGGAACAACAAGTAGGAGCAACAACGTAAGTCAAGATAATCATCTAGACAGAACAAATAGCTAGTTCCAAGGCCTGAGGAACAGAAAGGAGGACAATATGGCTGAAGAGTATTCAAACAGTGAGAGAGGGGCCAGACCTCATTGGATTTGGCAAATAATGGCCAGGAGTGTGGACTTTATTCTCAATGCAATGTGAAGTTACTAAAGATCAGTGAAATTAATATGACTCACCTTTAAAACATCATTTGTCTGTTATGTGAAGAATGGATTGAATGGAAGCAAGAAGTCCAGTATAGTTCAGAAAATATGGTAGCTTTAACAAAAGCTATCATAATTGTTACAGATTACATCTAAAATGTCCCCAAAAGTCTTATGTTCAAATGTGAGGCCTTTGGGATATAGTTAAATGAGGGGACACTATACCTATTAGTGTTTTAGTCCATTAATGTGCTTGTAGATGACTGCTATTCGGAGGTAGAGCCAGGTCCAAAGAGGTGGATCATGGAGGCATGACCTTTAAGAGCATATTCTTGTACCAAGTTCCTTCCTTCTCTCTGCTCTCTGGCCAACACACAGTAAGCAGTTTTCTTCTGTCATGCCTTTTCACCATGTCATTTCTGCCTTGTAACTAACCATGGACTAAACCCCACAGAAATTATGAGCCAAAATAAACTCTCTGCCTTTAAATTGGAGGTGTTGAGTATTCTGACTCAGCAATGAAAAAGCTAATATTGTAGTGATGGCGGAAATCAATGAAAGTGGACAGATTTAGGATATACTTTCTTAAGAGGAGACAGGACTTTCTGATGGATTGGAAGAGGGGTAGAGAGAAGGGATAAATGAAGGATGATTCCTACTTTTTTACTTAAGTAGATAATGTTGCCATTTAATAAAAATGGGATGACTAAGTGAGGAGCAAGTTTGGAATATGGAAGCAAAACCCAAATGTATAGATTTAAAGGTTAAATTGGAATATACACATATGAGGTGTGGTCAACATATATGGTAAATGTTTAAATTAAAATTTATTAGAGTAAAAAACACACTGCCATTCATCTCCCTCAAAATACTCTCCCTCTCTCTGAACTCATTTATCCTATTACTCTTGTCTAAAGCTGTTCTGGAAGTCCTCCTTTATGTCTTTACAAGGTGTGATCAAAAATGCAGTGAATGCTGTTGCCAAGTGCCATCCAATGGAAAGGTAGGCTTGTGAACACATTATGGTGTGTCCTCATCCACCTATTCACTGGGTCTGGTGCCATGTGACTTCTGGTTCTTTCCTGAGTCAAAATGATCATGAAAGGTAAACTTTTTGCAGTGACAGTACAGCCATTTACAAACACATCAGTGGCTAATATACTATGAATATAGTGCCCTCATGATTCACTCACCCTCCTAAAGCCCTTCTTTGAATAAAAGCCTTTTGGGGGACATTTTAGATCTAAACCATAACATAACTACTATAGCTTGTATTACAACTACCATCTGATCTGAACTACATGGCTTCCTAACTGGACTTCTTGCTTCAGGACACTGAGGCAGCCCCACAATGGAACTAAAGACCCTTACAAAACAAGACTTTCAGAACTGCTTCAAAAAGTGGCAAGAACAATGTGATAAGTGTGTTGAAAGTGAGGGGGTGGTATTTTGATGGGGATTAATGGCAATGTGTCTTTCACTGTAATACATTTTTTAAAAATTTACACATCCAGTGTATTTTTAATCATACCTCATACAATTAGTTTCCAAGTACAACCCACTGTATCCCTGAAATCTCTCTTGTTTTCAGTCTCTCTTCTGTTTTCATAACTAAGTGGTTTAGTGAGGATTCTACAGCCTCATGTGCACCCACCATCTACCAGCCTGGAAAGACACTAATATAGTCATACTAACTTTGAAGAAGTAGCTCTATTTTTCATCTTCATCCAACTTCTGGCAAAGTTTGTGGCACATAGCATGTAACAGTAATATTAGTTCAAAAACAGTGTGAAGAAAAAGAAGTCCTTTAACATATGTTGGTCTTATGTGGCATAATGTGTCATTTTGCCATGATACTTTTTATTCATTTTAAAATAATTTGCAAATGTACTCAAATCTGTTCCATTTTTGTGGGGGCAAAGAAAGGATTAAAAACCTTCCAAAAATATATATTATAAAGAACGGCAAGAACAATGAGATAGTTGTGTTAAAGTGAAGGGGAATATTTTGAGAGAGATTAATACTAACATCTTTTACTGTAATGTTTTTTAAAAATTTAAGCATTCATTGTCTTTAGTGATCACATCTCATACTTCAGTTATAATTCAGTTACTTCAAATATTCAGTTACAATTTTTGCTTTAGTCACAAATCTTTTGAAAAAGTTAAAAATATGTATACATACCTATATAGAAGTATATGTCCTTTTATATTTGGTTCCTTTTTATCATTTAGGGTCATTATTGCTTCATATCAGCCTGAGCTGCCATAGGACACCACTTCCCACATTGTGAATTGATGGGCTTCTTTTTTAAATTTCTTTTTTTCTTTTCTTTTATTTATTTATTTGAGACAGAGTTTCACTATGTGGACCAGTCTGGCCTCGGACTCACAGCAATTCTCCTGCTTCAGCCTCTTGAGTTCTAAGATTATAAGTGTGTGTGCTACTATTCTTGCCCTGAAGGGCTTCCTTTAAAGGGCATTTCTTAAAATGCAAGTCTCTAAATTATGAATTATCTCCAATTTTACTTACTTTAAAAAGTTTTTAATTTGCTTTCATTTTGACAAATTGTTATTCTGAGATTTTTTTTTTCTTTTTACTGTTTATGTCATTCTAACATTTTCTGGTTTTATTTCTCATGAGGTCAGTCATTAATTGTATTGTTGTTCCCCATTTGTAATGTGTCACATTTTTCTGGCTGCTTGAAAGACTGAAGTTTGGCTGTGATGTGTGTCTATGAAAGAGTTGTTTTGTGTTTATCCCTCCTGGGATTCATTGAACTTTTATGGATTTTTTCCAGTTGTAATTTTTGAGAGTAATCTCTGCTTCAGTTTGTTTTTGTAGTTTCCACTGCCTTTAAATTTTGTTTATATTTTGTCCAGATTTAATCATTGCTATCTGTGGAAAGATTTATATAACCACTTTTCTCAAAAACTATTCCCTTAAAATCCTTCTTACTATAGTGCTGGAGTAAAAAATGGTAGCTGCCCAACTTATATAATCAGAAAAATAATCTAGGAATCACTAAATGTCTTCATTTTCGCATCGATTATCATGGTAGTTAGCTTTAAGTAGCATTTTGAGAGAGGAGGGGGTAAAGGCTAGAATTAAGTATATAAAAATGTATTTGATCATTCAATATTATCTTCTTTTGATATTCAAGGTTTGTGCCTGATGGATTTTGAAGGAGAGTGCGTAAGTTTTGTTGCTAGTGGTTAGAATGTCTTCTGTGCTTTCTTTGTGATTATGCAGATGCCATATGAAGATTAGTATATTGCAGTACATTATCACTGAGCACACTCAGTGGAAGAGAAGATAGTATTTGTTGGGGCACACGAGGGTACTGTAAGGATTACAAATGTGAAAGAAGTTGTTACCGGCTAGTCTGGTACTTTCTTAAGTTTTGATTCATTTTGGTAACTGCTGATTTAGGATAAGGGGTACAAAGTGGGAGGAAGAAAAAGGAAACCCATATTGAAACTTAACCCTGGAAGCTATAAAATGAGCATCCTCCTATCCCAGAGCTCCTCCTAGAAATGCCTGTTCAGCAAATGTACTTTAACTCATTTTTCCCCTCCTTATCTTTACCCCAAGGAATCCAGAAAAATCATAGCCCTTAAGCATAGATTCATGATGTGATATGATGCATTTATGTCAAAAGATAAATACGGTACATTATTAAAGAAAAGAAATTCAATTTGGATAAAACTTAAAATAAGGTGTTTTTAATTTGTTTGTTCTTTCCTTTGTGGAAGGAAAAAGGAGTGGACTATATGAAGAAAATTCTTGATTCTCCATGTCCCAAAGCAAGACATTTAAAATTTGCTGCTGCCTTCAACCTTGGGAGAGCTTATTATGAAGGAAAAGGTGTTCAACAGTCAGATGAGGAAGCTGAAAGGTAACCTTACTTGAAAACAAGATTTTGTTTTACTGAAATGCTGAAACAAACAATACGTTGCCTTGCTTTCTCTTTTAGATTGTGGCTTTTTGCTGCAGGCAATGGAAATCCAAAAGCTAATGTGAAAGCTCAAAGTATCTTAGGACTGTATTATTCAACAAAAGAACCCTAAGAGTTAGAAAAGGTAACACTTCTCTTTCTTTTTAATGCTAGCATTATATTTAGATTAATATTTCACTATTTTTTTGAAAAGACGGGGGGGGGAGTAAATATACCGTTTTGAGTATCTTTTATATTTCCATAAAAATGTAAAGAAAGTTTGTAGTTGTTTATTTCACACCTTTTACTTACCTATAAATACTACCTTCCCTACCTCTCCCAAAGGACACCATAGATATGAGAGTATTTTGTATACAACAAAAAATTACACATATAAAGTATTATACTATAAAAGCTGAAAGAAGAGGGATAGTCCTAAAGTTAAGGCCCAATTCTTTTTAAGTATGAACAATTAATATTACCTTTGATTTGAGGAATATGTGATACTAATGAGTAAAACATGCCAAGAATTATTTAAAAGTTAAATCCCCTTGAGCTTTTCACTGAAATATAATCTTAGTGATTGAAACATTTTCCAAAACTCCTACAGTGAGAAGAAAATGTGGGGCCAAGTCTTACTTGCAAGAGAGGAGTTAATGGCAAATTAGTAAAAGGCAGATGACAGTTAAGACTATTCTCAATAACTGAAATTGGAAATAATTTGGAAAAAAATCTGTAAAACTATTTCAAACTCATCGTAGTTGGTAGTTGAACATTGAGATAATGTGCTTACCTACATACAGCTGTCATCCTTGCATCTTTGATCTTGGTAGCTGCCATCTGGGATCCCCCAGAAAACTTGTTTTTCCCTCAGTATCAGTAGCTCTTCTTGGCCCTGCTGCACCTCTGTGGGTATCTCCAAACTTTCACTTAGCTCATATTTTACACCTTCTCAGTCCTTACTCTGAAGAGTTTGAGAAGCCTGAAACCTAACAAAGCTGACCCTCCTGTGCCCCAACTGTCTTGCTTGTGACCTCGCCAGCATGTGGGTAGACACAGAACCACCTTGGCACTCTTTAGACTTACACATTTAGACTTACATTTAATAAGACTTACACATTTAGACTTACACATTTAGTGCAGTGTGAAACACATTCAGGGCTGCAACTATTTCCTGGAAATTCCTATTATATCATCTTATAATTAGAGCTTTTTCTTTCCAATATTCCTTTGTAATTTCATTTTGTGAATAATAAATAAAATGATGCAATTGTGCTCTTTGTTAGGCATTTTATTGGCATTCAGAAGTGTGTGGCAACGGGAATCTGGAGTCCCAGGGTGCACTTGGCCTCATGTACTTTTATGGACAAGGCATCCACCAGGATACTGAAGCTGCCCTGCAATGCCTAAAGGATGCTGCAGAGTGAGGGAACATCTATGCACAAGGGAATCTCGTGGAGTATTATTATAAGATGAAGTTCTTTACAAAGTGTGTTAAATTTTCCAAAAGGTAACTGTCCTAGTCCATTTTGTGTTGCTGGAACAGAACACCACAGATTAAGTAATGAATGGAAATTTGTTTCTCACAGTTCTATAGACTGGAAAGTGCAGGTTCAGTTGGCTGGTGAGGGCTGCATCCCTGAGAGGGGAGGAACGCTGTGTCCTCGAAAGTCAGAGTGCTGAGGAAAGGGAGGGCTGTAATCCTATCCACTAAGGAGCAGCTCTGTGACCTACTCACCTCTCAAAGTACCCATGTCTTATACTGTCACACTAACAACACCTGAATTTTGCAGGGGACACATTCAAACTACTTCAATAAGATTTAAATAAGCTGGAACTTACTATTATTTTCCACATCCTATTTCCCCTAACATTGTGGTTAACGTGGAGTTCGCAAATCTCATTTCACACAATTCTCCATGTTTGTGTCCAGGTTACAAAAAATAGCTTCTTTTTTATTGCCTATTTTTAAAGTAGATGTGCTAGTTTCTTAAGTGTTTTCTAGTCCTAATGTGACTATGGTCCAGATTTAAAGTTAATGTTTCAGTATGTGATCCAAGGAAATATAAATTCTATTTTCCTCATTCAGTTTAAGTCCATTAAATGATGGCAAACTTAAAATATTAATATTATAAGAAAAATAACATATTTGTTGTTTAACGGTTATTAAGACTGATAGGTATGATCACAGGGAAGCCATCTAGTAACCTCTTCATCTTCCTCTGGTCTTAGCTGATTTTGTTCCCTGAACCTTTACACACAGCATAAAACTTAGCTCTCAAAGGGGTAAAGATGTATCACTTTAAGCACAAGGACAATTTCTAGACATATCATTTCGTAAAAATGTAAATCCCAACTGATGTTCTCTTCAATTTCACAATTTAATGTACTATCAGGATTGCTGATTATGATGAGGTTCACGACATCCCCACGATAGCCCAGGTCACGGACTGTCTCCCAGAGTTCATCAACAGAGGCATGGCCATGGCATCTTTCTACTATGCACGGTGTCTTCAGCTTGGCTTGGGCATCACAAAAGATGAAGTAACAGCTAAACACTATTATTCTAAAGTAAGCTTTAGAGAGCAAAGTAGGAATTCATCCAAATAGAAATTGCTGGGCTTTTCGTTGAAGCTTGAACTTCATGAATTATTGTTTTTTGCTACTTAATTACTAAGCAGATAACCTGTCTACAAAGAGCTGTTGGGGACGCAGGTTTTTTGCAGACAATTCTTATAGTTTCTTATTAGCATAATTACATTCAGATGAGAAAAAGTCCTATTTTGATGGAAATTAGTCTCTAGATCTGTGACCATCTACAACCTAAGGCGTAGCACCAAGACCTTAAAGCCAAAAAGTTTGTGTTTTTTACTTAGAAATAGTGTGTACCTGTATCTTCATTCTAGTATCCTAATGAAATGTTTTCAAAAATTTTTTAAATGTATTATATCTAGCATACTTAGGAGAAATATTCATGAATTTCAAGTAATTGTGACCTTTTCTTATTTGTGGTCACTTTAAATCCCAAATGGATTTCAGATCTAAAAGAAAGCAACTCCTAGCTGGTCATAGTGCCATATACCTGTAATGTTAGGACTCTGGGAGGCTAAGGCAGGAGGATTGCAAGTTCAAGCTGAGTCCCGGCAGCTTAGTGAGACCCCGTCTTAAAATACAAAATAGTAGGGTGTGGTGGCACACTCGCGTAATGACAGCACTTGAGAGGCTGAGGCAGGAGGATCATTTGCAAGTTCAAGGCCAGCCTGGACTACCTAAGAACTGTCTCAAAATCAATCAAAATAAAAATTTTTAAAAAGGGGCTGGGGATGTAGCTTAGTGTGAAGGCCTTGTGTTCAATTCCCTGTACAGCAAAACAAAACAAAACAACAAAAACTATACTTAGGGTTTCTAAGTATTATATATTCTCCTAGGACCTCTCAATGATTCTAAAGTACATGGAGGGAAACCTCAGCTTAATATTAGGAAGAATGTTCTAATAAAACTGTTTGGGAAACAAAAGTTTTCTCTCTAAGTCAGTAACTTACTGCTACTAGAAGCAACCAAGGAGATACTGTATTCAGTGACCAATTGTCCTGGATACCAAAGGGAAATTTCTGCACAAGGTAGGTTTGGACAAGGTAAGTTCTGATATCTCTTCCATATTTTTTTTTTTTTGTACTGGGGATAGAACTCAAGACCCTGTGCTTGCAAGGCAGGTGTGGTGCCACTGAGCTAAATCTCTGGCCATCTCTTCCATATTCTTGATTATCGAGAAATTATGCACCTTATCACTATTTACTTTAGGTATAACAACTACATATTCCAAAAAAAAAGATGATTATAGATGGTGCTATTCACATATAAGATGAACAGCAAATGAGGCCAAATATTAATGCTTTCCATTTTACTTAAATCATTCTTAACATATAATGGTACCATCATCAGGGTGTAAATACCTTTTTCTTGGTTTTGATAAACATTTCATGTCTTTTAAATAATAATAAATAATAATTGAGTATGATCTATTTTGCATAGGTTAAGTTTCAAATTCTCTTATTTCTAGTAGGAAGTCAGAAAAAAACTTAATTAAGAAATTTTCCTGAAATTCACTGTGCTGTACTATTCTTAAAAAGGAAAAAGACCCCCAAAATTAGAGTGTATCTAAATAACTGACTCTCTTTGATTTTAAGGCTTGCCATCTGAATCCTGCATTGGCAAATGAACTTCACTCCTTAGTTATTCATCAAAGAATTTAGACCACAATGCATTTCAACAAAGATCATCAATCCTAACACCATACAATGTGTGTATTTTTATAGCATTTGATTGTTATTGTCTGATTTCCAAGTTACATTATCCTAGGGATTTAACAGATGATACATTACCTTTGCTCTTGAATTTGCGTGCTGTAAATTTTGTAATCTGAAATCTAGCCACAGGATCAGACTGGTAAAGAGTCCTTAGAGATTCATGTCCTGGCCTATCCAGTGCCTAGACTATATTAAATTTGAAACCATTCATAAAGCAAATATCATTTTCATTTCTTAAACACAGACTGCCTGAGAAGATTTAGCACAATTTTAGTTTAAGTCTTAAAGTGTAAATGCTACAAACTTATTTAAAACATTATTTGAAAGTTTAATTTCAAAAATTTATTTGGCATTTAGTTTTGTGAATTTTGAATGAGTTAGTCCTAATTTTTTGCTTCAGTCATTTAAACATTTTAACAGGAAATAGGAGATACATCTTTTGCAAATTGGAAAGGGAGATCTAGAGATGGAGGGAGGAAAAGGGAACATAAAAAGAACTAAGACGTGTTATGTACATGTACCAACTCTCCATGAGGAATGTAATCTTTATATACTGCAAACATGTACTAATAAAAATAAAATTTTTTTAAATTCATAAAATTAAACAAAGATCAAAGAAATTTAAAGAATCAGAACTGTCAAATAACATTTTTGATAAATGTGTATAGCATTTCTACTGAAGTTGTTAAAAGCTAAGATTCTAATAATTGGTTATTTATTTAAATTTTTAAAAAAGTGGCCTTAAGAAAATGCTTCAAATTTTTCCTTCCAAATCTTTCCTCAAAGATCTTAATTTAATGAGCAAGACCATTACATATCTTTTTTTTTTTTTTTGGTATCAGGAACTGAACTCGGGACCTTGCATTTGCCAGCCAAGCTCAGCACCACTGAGCTACATCCCGGCCCTACTATATCCATGATATTCACAAGCTAATCAGTTAAAGCAAGATGCTTCTTACCTCAACCAATTTTCTACATTTTTAAAACTATAAATTTCAATATAGGAAATGTGAGAAAACTTCATTAAAATCTCCTAACTATACAAGAACTACATCTAAATATTGTTAAAAATATCTGTCAATGACATGTATGAAGCCAAAAGGTGGCAATAATAGATCCATATACATTAGATTGTACAACAAGTATACATTTGTGAAACAAATGAAGGTGATGTCTTAAAAATACATTAACTGTCCTTTTTTGGGTACGCATACTAAGCTGATACAGATTTATTTCATATGTCAAAATACCCTTTTTTGTGGATTTAAACAAGGTCTCTTCTTAGTAGTAGGAAAATGGAAATAGAGTAGTACCTTGTTACACATAGTTAATTGGGTCCAGGAGGCGAGACAAGTACCAAAAACAATGAGTACCAAACAAATTGTTTGGGCTGGAAAGAGTAGGGAATCACAAGGCAATTGAGGCAATCCACACTGACAAATTCTGGCTTATGTGTAGAGTACCAAACCAATGAGGAGCACTGGGATAAGATGTTTTTGTCAAAATGTCTTTTGAGTACTAAATTCAACAAGTTTCAAAGCAGTTGAGCATATATTATATGACTATAATATGCAGGTGACAATTACTAGTGCTGCTGTGCAGCAGAAAAGTACTTGCTCTTGCTTTATGTTCTGGTTTGCTTCTATCACTAGACCTTCATTACTTGATCTCAAGGCTGGTGATGTACCTCAGTGGTAGAGCACTTGCCTAGCACACACGAGGCCCTGGATTCAATCTTCAATACAGCAAAAACAATAAAAAGTAAATAAAATACAGGTCTCAGAAATCCTGCTTGTTGGAATTTAATATGTGGTAATATGCTATGCCTAAATATGATCCCAACACAGAATTTAAAATTTCCATTTACTGTAGTTACATTCTAAAGCTGATAATCTGGCACCTGCACACTGCCATCGTGCTACAGACAGCAGTGGAAACCTTAACCTGTGAGTGGAGGAACTCTTCAACTCAAGTGAGTTGAAGCTTCCAGATGATTATTCTTATTTTTTTTTTTTTGGTACTGGGGATTGAACTCAGGTCCTTCTGCTTTCAAGGCAGGCAGCGGAAGCACTGAGCTAAATCCCCGGCCCTAGATGATTACTCTTAAAAAAAAAAATCCAAACTTATCTAAGATTCATTATAGCTGTTACCTCATGAAAAAGTGAGAATTTATTATAAAGAAATATTGAGGAGCAAGAATATTTTTGTCATTTGCAGTATAAACTTAACAACTACAGTTTAAATGACAGCATAGAATTATGCTAAGACAGACATTTCTAGTAACTGTGTTATGATGAGTTCTTTGGGCTTGGCAACTTTACCTTACTTCTCTTCCCTGAATATATTTTAAATGGTCTTTTCAATATCCCCTTAAAGGATAATTCTTATGGATATAAATAGCCAACTATGGGTTATTCTTAAGTGTCAAATATCTATTTACAGTCAAAGAGCTATAACTTAGAAGAAAGAATCTCAAAGACAAAATTTGATGTACTAAGTTTTAATCATTTAGCTTTCAGAACTTGTTTCTTATCAAGATCTTGGCAAGTATGAGCTATCAATAAAAGAATCTTTATATTTTAATCTATTTAGTATTTCTTTTATGGATTCAAACTGAATTTTTACCTTTTAACTATTTTGTTTTCAGTATTTCTAGGGACCAGAATGAAGAAGGTATTTTATTATCACTGCATAACAGATGATGAAGCCCCGGAAAATTAACTGAGTGACTTGTTCATAGTCCCACTATCAATAACAACAACAAAAAAATTCTGTACTCTGGACCTCTCCTGATGCCTCTTGTAGTCTATAAGACTTGATGATATACCAAGTCCTTAAGCTCCCTGAAGTAATTTCCTTCCTCTTTATTTCCTTGTCTCATTCTTTCAAGGTTTAGCTCACATCTAATATCTCATTTTTAAGCACTAATTTGGCTCTTTTCATGTACTAAAAGTCACATATTTCAGATGTTTATTTTATGTCTGGTGAAAGGCAGCAAACTTTTTACTTGCTTGGTGAAATACTTAAGTGGATAGTGTTTTTCTGCCAAAGAAAAATACACATAACTATCTGAATAGCCCAGGTGTTTTTTTAAAGCATTTTAAACATCACAGAACACTATGATTCATTTTTATATTTTATTGCTTCAAATGCTTCAAACTATGGGAAATCTTTGGTAAAAATAAAGACAATAAAATTTTCACAATAACTTTACACAAAGCATTGCACAACAATGTTCTTCAATACACATGAAATAATATAGGAATGTTCAGAGTCCTCAGGGAGGAAATTACTGTACAAGATTCATAGTTCTTCATTTTACAACAAAACTGCTTTCATAAATATTTAAAATATTTCCTAGGTTCTTACCACATATTAATATTTGTATTTCAATAAGTATATTGAACTTTAAAGTATTTATATTATTTAAATAAAAATCAATAAACAAAAGTTCTTTTCCCTATTGCCTACTATAGCATCAAGTCACCCTCCCCCTCAATTCTGCTTATTTTACATAAAACTAGAGGGATGTAACTAAAATGAAAATCAGTATGGTCCTCAGTCAAGCCCTCTGTGAAAAAGAGGAAAATGTTTCATGTCTATTATGACACAGACATTTCTCTGGTGGTTTATTTGTGCAGCTCAAACTTGACCAGCTTTAAGTTGATCTAAATGAGTTCTCAGCTCAGGACACAGCTCAATTAGCAGCAGTTCCATCAGCACCTGTACAGAGACAGAAGAAAAAAAGAAAAAAACCCCAGTAAGTTGTGGGTTTTTTTCCTCCAAGCATCTGAAAATAAATATGTGTAGAGAAAAGTCTAATTTTAATTCTGAGATTATTCTCACTAAACAAATGACTAGAGGAATTAATATGATATAAACCATTTATTATATAAACCATTTATTTCATGGCCTAGTAAACACATCAAACCACCAACCATACTTAACATTGGTAACTATAATCAGAAAGAAGATGGTGAAAGTTTGCTTTGCCAAAATAAAAGCACCAAATAATCAAGAAATCAAGAAAGGCAACTAGTATCCAAGAATGAGAATCCTCCATTCGTGTGTGTGTGTGTACTTTTTTTCTTTTTAACAAAATGAACAAACAAAAATGAAGCAGAGAAAACAGGTTCAGAGTTGTAAGTAGTAAATGTGATTAAGAATATAAAGCATTAAACCTCCTGCAGTATGTGATTGGAAATAGAAAATCCAAGAAATAGTTCATCCTTTGGGAGGCTTTAATTTACTCACATATAACAGGTGCTTATTGGCTCTTGTTTCTTGTAGTGCCTTGAATATTTTTATTATACCATGGCGGGCATTTTGCTGTCCAAGAAGGCTCTGAAGTGTATCTGAAAAAAAAAGTTTTTCATTTTGTTGTGCTGGGTATCAAACCCAGGACCTTGCACACACTAGGCAATTGCTCTATTACTGAGATACATCCTTAGCCCTGAAATTTTGTTTTTATTCCATGTTGATACTGATAAAATATACAATGCATATTCAGTGAGAGGGATATTACATGACACATACACAGTAAATAAAGGCACTGAGGTGAGGCATAAGGAACATAAATGGCCATGAATGGTCAAATGTTTAAAAGAAAAATTTATTCAGTATTTTCAACATGAGGCATTTATACAAACTACATTTTTAATATATTACTACTGCTGGTTTTAACAATTAAAATTAATATATTTTTAACATAGTCCTAATATTTTAAAACATATTTTAGCCTATCTCTAAAGCACAAAATGTATTTCCTCTAAAGTAATTTTCTAGTTAAAAGTCCTTACTAATAAGATTCTTGGTGTAATTTCTTAGCAAGTGATAAGACATGGCTTAAAAGAAAAAAGTATGATTTTTAAACAATAATGTTTCAGAGAGCTATAAATGAAAAACATCTCAATAGAGTTAACATACCCTTTTTATCTCTTTAAGAACCCAGGTCTCACCTGGAATGTTTTCAAGTAGCTTTTGCTGCGCTCTCTGCTTTGTTTCTTGACTTTGAGCTTTGCTTCTCATTCTGGTTGGTGGTGCCAATTTCCCATTTGGCCAAAAAGCATCCCGGAAAACATTAATGTAGTAAACTAGCATTTGCTCACTGAAAATCCAACTCACTGTGTCCCGGATTTGTCTTTTAAGAGAAAAAAAAAAATAAAAAAAAATTTTCTTGAATGAGGTTTTGAAACTTTTATACTTTACTCTCATAAGGTATTCATAAATGGGTAGGCTAAGATACAGCCTGATCTAAATGTTTGATGAACAAAGTAGGAATTAGATTTTTATTTTTTTGGTACCGGGGATTGAATTTGGGTCCTTGTGCTTGCGTAGCAGGCAGCGAAACCACTGAGCTAAATCCCCGGCCCAGAATTAGATTTTTAAACTCTGGCTATTAAAGTTATTTTTACTTTGGTGATACTGGATAATCATTTGTTCTTGGAGTTCACATTTTCATTGGCACCAACATCTCCAAATGTTTGCTCTGTGGTACCTTCCAATCTGTATGGACAAGACTTGAAGTTTGTGACTACATTAACTGTATACAGTACTGAGTATACTAATTTCACTTTGGAGCATTATAAACATGAAATTATAAACTGAAACCCACTTTTAAAGACTGTTAAAAGTGATTTAGAAAATGTCCTAGAGCTCCTGAACTCCCAGAGGAGAAATGAGCTTGTTCACCAGCTGTGTCTTAGGACTGCTATGGCAGATGGTGCTGGGTACAATACTCTGACACAGAGGAAGCATCCCACATGCCCAGAGGCAAGAAGAAGATACTCCCTTTCAGAGATATATAGCTGATTTCACACTGCCATGGGAATGAAAATTGGTAAGCATTTGACTCATACATTTATGCACAAATGGTTATCTTGTTACCCAGGTCTTTCACACAACCCTATTTCAGTAGTTGAAGTTTAACCAGTTACAAGGTCTTCTACTGTCAAAGTTCAAAGAGCCCAGGAGGATGTGACTTTGGGAGGAAGTCCCTTGAAAGGGGGAAAAAAACATCATCTTAAGACTATTAGTGTCAGAAAGACATGAAACTTCAAACTTGACTCATGAATAATAATAAATCAAAAAGCTCTTTTAAGAATCTGACTTCTCTTTAAAGAGATGATGTAAGAGTTCTAGAAACAGCATCTAAAATAGATATTTCAAGCCTAGTAGTACACAGTAATCAGACACTACTAAATGTCTACATTCTACTGAGTCAAATTATAATGTAAATTTATCTCTTAAGATACTTCCTTGTATTACTTAGAACTGTGAAATTCAAATCTAGACTGAATAAAATAATGTTATTAACTTAATGGGACATCTGCTTTTGTAGAGAACCTGTTGAATTGCCTGCCTACTTTTCATTTAGAAAAATCTGTTTCATACCAACATGGTATTTTCTTTCTGTAATCTTGCTTTAGGTTAATCACTGGTATTCTATAAAGAAAACTTCAACTTACAACATGAAATTAGATAACTCTTACTAAAGGTCATCACCTAAATACTTTCTACCAACTTAGCTCTATTAGCCAAAACCTATAGACATTTTAAAAGTAACTGTAGTTTGTGAGACTGTAGTTGCTGTACAAAGACTACCAATGTATTGCTGCTTAATTTTATGATGTGTCATCATCTGCTAAAGGCAAAAAATAGCAAAGTACCAGGTGCTCTATAATTTTCCACTGATAAAAAGCCCACTGAAATGAACAGCCTGGAAATTTTCTACAAGATGACTCCCTCTATCTTCATGAAAATAACTGCCAAATGTATACACCACTTGCAAATCACAGCTGCTTACTTTATAATTAAGAGTCAATATCATAAAAAGGAACAAGAAAAGTTTTCACAGATTTGCTGAAACTGGGAAATAAATTAGCAAGTTTCAAGTGCTGAGAAAAATAAGGCCATTTTGGAAATCTCATGGATTGTCACTACTAGTAAAACTGAGGTTTGTTTTATACTGAAATTAGTTAAAAGAAAAAAGTATTTTTTCTGAATAAAACTGAAGCTTATGATAGTAGTGAACTAAACAAACCTCAGTGACTGGGAACAACTAAAACTATTTTCTAAAAAAAATCTCAGAAATAAAATAAGGGTAAAATTTTTGTTTACAACCACAAAAAAATATATTCCACTTATAAATTAGTACATAAGAGTAATACATTTTCTTTATAATGTTTCCCATAAAAATGCATAAGCTTTCTATGATAAAACTGTCATATTGATCTTGTACAAACACCTGACACTAAGTAAATCCCACTTGGAAAAGTCTGATGATTTAAAACTTATTTTACCACATGGGATAGGGAAACTTATTTTACAGAAAAAAGGTGATTGTCTTATTTCTATTGTACAGGAAGTCATAATGCTTATCTCTTGAAAAATTTAAAAAACAAGGTTAGTATTTAAGAAACGCTGACAATTGCAGTTCCCAGTTCTAGGCACAGGTACAACATAAGACATGGCTGAGTGAGTAGTCACAGGCCAGGAGGTCAGGCAGGTTTGCTGGCCAAGGAAGTCATGTGCTCTCTTTGGTTCTGTTTCCTCCCTCAAAAAATGAGGAACTAGACTAATCTCTGAGATCTCTTTCTGGACTGAAACTATCTAAATAATTTGATTTAACTTCTATTTACTGCATGATTTTATAGTTATTTAAAATTCCAATAATTTCTTAGAAAGTAATATTAATTGACTGAATTTTCAATAATAGATACAGGGCTTTCATAAATGAATAGCCAAAATGTGAATCACTTTTTATGAGGAATGAAAGATATACTACATAATGTTATGACTATGGGTAATATAATATGGTTTAGAATTTATATATAGCTTATAGTAGTGCTATATGATAGACCCTTATGGATATTAAGATATTAACTAATAAAAGGGATGAATATTTTAGCGCTACTTCATATTTTAAAAGTTCATATATGGTTTGTACTGCATTTACCTCCAAGTAAACACAGAAAATCCCCAACTTAGGAACATTTAAGTTGAGAACTTTCACAGGTGTACTGTATAAGATTCACAGGTATACTGTAAAATACTCACTTTGTTGGATTATGGACAAATCTGATTTATGAATGTTCTCCCAGAACTTACTGTACTTGCCATGTGAGGCTCATCCCACTTTCATCCTCAGAATCCAATCTTAGTCCAATTCCCATTATGTAGCATAAAAACAGTATACCAAGATACTCTAACCAGTCAACATGATCAAAAGAGAACTTTACAGAACACAACCTTCTGACCCTTGTCAGCCAGAATGCTGGAAGGAACTCAAGCTTCAATATCTAACGTAACATACATTCTGTGGGGAAAATATAGGCGTCTGCTTCCTTGTAAAATCATAGCAGAAACAAAAAGTAAGAGAAAGATATGAAAGTTAAATTATTTGCTACTATATCATAGGTAATTCTGACTATTCAAGTAAAGGGCATAGAATAGGGCATAGATTCAGATATTAATTTCATATAACTCACTTGTTGATGGTTCTTCCAAAAGTGACCTGAACAAGAGCAATTAATGTTCTTCTCACCCACTTAAACACTGAAATATAAATCAAGGAAAAATTATATCAGAATATCATTAGCGTGATATTTGCATAGGTGTAAAAAGCATGTCTTATCACTTAATTCAATCTGAGTCCCAATATCAACTAGAAGCTAATGATTTCTACAGAATTTGGATCTAGGTTAGCTAATGTCTGCTCAAAACTATTCTAAGTTTTTATTTTTCACTAAGCAACTGATGAGATGAAACCCAAGAGTTTCTGCAGCTTTCAATTCTAAAGAATGGTGACCTAGCAAGTGGCAATAATATTTTACTTCCCATGTCCCCAGAATAGTGACAACATGCCTGTTTCCCACTAGCAGACAGAGTAATACCTACCTTAAATTTCTGCCTGGCTTGCTGAACCTAGTTTCCTAACATAGAGCTCTAAATGAGAAGCATCTGTAGTCAGATACTGGCAAATATTGTGAAATATTAATGAAGTGACAGGTCTAATGGTCTAATTTGAATAGTTTGGGTGACATCTTGTATTTTTATATCTTATGTGCTTAGGGGAAGAAAGTGAACTATGAAGATCCAGGACACTGAGTTGGACTGAATTTCACAATCTGCTGAGCCACCTCCTACAGTAGCCAGGCATAAACCTTTCTCTGAACCTTGGCTATTTCATTGGGAAAATGACAGAATTCATGTGTGCCCTTTTACTTTTTGTCTTTGAAAGTCTTTTTGTTGTATGAAGAGTCCTACCAATCTAAACTTTTTACTCGAGACACATTTTATAGGCACAGAATATGAACATAAACCAAAGAAAGGAAAAAAATGCTATGAGGGTACTTTCTATCTACAAATTGCAAAGAAATTCAATTTTCCATTTATATTTTCATGTTCAGTCCATAACATGTTTGGTCACTGACACATGAGGAAATGAGAAATTCAGAGTTGGCTGTAACACAGCCAAGAGTTCAGGCCTCCTGCACCCAGTAAGAAAACCTATAAGGAGCACATTCACAAATGTTTTTGCATAAGGGCAGACACATAAGTAAAGAACAACAATCAATAGAGACCCAGTACTAGACTAAAACATTTTAGTCATTTCTAATTTTTAAAAATAAATCTAAACATCAAGTTAAAGTAGTATTAGTCCTCCAGGTAAAAGTCAAGTCTTAAGAGTCAGAATCATGTGTCAAAATTGCCTTAAACTTTTTGACAGAAATTGTTGGAATGCTGCCAAGTAGGTAGACATGCTCATTTCAGACTGGCACTCAGGTGGGGATGGCATGTCTGTCAGTGATGATAACTTCACTCTGCCTTTCTGGGACAGAAAAGAGGCAGCTCATACCCAGAGGGTCTGAGGACAAGTGCAACTCTGGGACAAATGCCGGACTGCTGGGTGGATATAGAAAAGACTGCATTATTGGTTCCTTTTCATATATTGAACTAGAGCAGGAGCCCAAACTGATTTTGCTACAGACTCTCTCCATCACTGATAGCCCCTTACTCCAGTCCCCAGCCCACACCCCCCAAAAAAACAGACCCAGGACTCCTTTCAAAGCCTCATTTGTGCAAAGCCACAGAGGCAGCTGCAGCAGCACAAGGATTGTGTTGATGGCAAATGTATCACATCTCATTATAAAGGATGTTCTATTTATTCCTCTCTGAAATGTCACTAGGAAAACCAAATATGTTCCTGAGCAGACATTTGATGGAGGTCGTACATGCTGCAAAGATAGTATTTTGAGCTGAGTGTGGTGACACATGCTTATAATCCCAGCATTAGGGAAGTTAAGACAGGAGGATCATCACTAGTTCAAGGCGAGTCTGAGCTACATGGTGAGTTCAAGGCCACCCTGCAATACATAGTAAGACCCTCTCAAAAAATAAAAAAGGCAGCATTTTGAGCTCTCTATAGCTGTGACTGGCTCTGACACATCTACTACATCCCAATCTATTTGTATCCGTTGAAGTGAACACACCAACAAAAGCTAAAAAGACAGGTATCCTTGTTCTTATTGCCAACAGATAAAACTGGGAGGATTCATGACTTCATGGCCCAGATTTCACTGAGGGATAGTCAGACTTTGATGGAGTACTGTTTTTTTTTTGTTTTCTGTCTATACTGAAGTAAGTCAAGCATTGGTCTGTATTTTAAATGTCTAAAATATAGAAAGACTACAGATTTTCTATCTGAAATAATGTTTAGTATTTGAATGATATTCTATCACAGATATATCTTAAATTTAACTATACCCAACTTCTAAAATGTATCTTAGTTCTAACTTATATTGAAATCATGCTAAAATGAACTTCAATATGTATCTATATATCTGCCCTTTTAGTATAAATTCACTGAAGGTAGAATATATATATTCTGAAAAGGATATCAGAGGACAGGTAATATTTGGATCCCCATTTTACTATTGTTTCTTCTATGTACATCTCCTTCAGGAATTACTAAGCTAGAACTCTTGACCACAGTTTTGTCACTGTGGGGAGGCTGTGTGGAGACTGTCCTGTATCCTGCAGCATGTTTAGCAGCATCCCTGCCTCTACACACCAGATGCCAGCAATACTCCTGCCTGCAAGTTCTAACAACCATTTTGTCTTTGTAAGCCAAAAAAAAAAAAATTCTGACAACCAAAATGATGCTAGACATCACCAAATCTTCCCTCCTTCCTTCCACTTAGAACCACTGCTCTAAAAGAAGAAAGGTGATAGAAAAACACGGCTGAGACTTTCCTGCATCCCTAGCCACAATACTAAACATATCAAAATCATACCTTGAATAACAGGGTTTTCCTCCTGCTATGCAAAGTAAATTTCTGTATAACTTTTGGTTACAGGCAATGAAGCTCTGCTGAGTCACATGAAAAGAAATTCAAAGCATTCTCTTTCTGCTAGATTTTTTTTGGGGGTACCGGGGACTGAACTCAGGACCTTGCACTTGTGAGGCAGGCAGCGGAACCACTGAGCTAAATCTCTGGAGAGCATTCTCTTTCTGTATTTGGAGGAATACACTTCAGGATAAGTCAGGACTCGAATCTTCATGTGTACAGAGATAGTATGTGTCTCAAGGCTGTCATCAGTACCTAAAATTCTATCTGACTGGCCCTTAAAATAATTGTTGAATGAACTAATGCATAAATATAAATACATATCTGATGCAGTTCAGGAATACAGAGACATTGTATAGGTCCCACTTAACCTGCAAATACTATTAAATAATAACAAAGAGGCTTACTTCCTCGAAGTTCAAAAATCTCCCCAATCAACATGAAACAAGGTTCAGCCAAGGCATCTTTCCTCCCATCCACATCATCACCATAATCTGACAGGTCACTGTCCTCTTCTGGCTCTTCCTGGAGGGACAGCAAAGTCACAGGAAGCATGTCACTTATCCAAGAAAATTGTGGACTTCAAGGGTAAATTCCAAATGATTTGCTCATACTTTAGTCTTACCCTTCTACTCTTATGCAGAAATCTATCTACTTTCAATAGAGAGGACAAAATGCACTGAACATCAGGGAAAAGCTTAATTCTAAAGCCTTATTCAAGGTTTAAAATAAGCTAATTAAAAAAATCTCCATCTTTGTATTAATACTCAAAGAACTAGAATAAGATAGTTTTCTTAAAACAATAAAATATTTTTTGAGTTTTAAAAGTAAGCTTTTTAACTTAAATGATTTAAAATTCACTGCAATTAAAAAATATGCACATTGTATTTTAATTGTTTTTAAAGTTCTACTTTGAAGCTTGAGCTTTTACTTTATACTTCAGCTAGTCTCATTTCCTGATTGGCAAGTCTGCAAGTTTAAGTTCAGAATTTCCTATATGCTAGGCAGCAGTTTAGTGCAAACAAGTGCGATGTACAGTTGACAGTAATTTAGGGAGAATAATGCAGACACAAACAGCTGTTTTTACAAGGCTGGATTCAGTGCTATCGGTGAGGTCCAAATGTCAGGCAGAAGGACAACTGAGGAAGTTCATTTTTATGTCTGCACAAAGGAAGATGGTGAAGTCATGCGAGCAAGCAGGAGGCCAGTGACAGGACTTGGGGTGACATCAGGTGATCACAGGAAAGGACTGGAGAGAATTGCCAGAGATAAGAAGAATTCCTTAAAAATTCACAACTTCATGAAAATCCAACAATGTCAAATGCTTCCATGAGGGTGAGGAAGAAGCCACTGACACTCACTTTCACAAAGTAATCTCCCAGGGCCAGGGATTTAGCTCAGTGATTCTGCTACCTGCCTTGCAAGTGAAAAGACTCGAGAGTTCGATCGCTGGTATCAACCCCCCCCCCAAAAAAACCCCCAAAACAAACAAAGTAATCTCCCAGACTGACTAAGCTGTATGTGAATCCCAAGAGACTCCAGCATAAAAGGGGGTAACAAGAGAAGGCAGCCAGGTCTAACAACATGATGGAGAGAGGTGAGAGGAGACGAGGTCACATCCAGACCTGCACAGAGGTGGGAGATGCTCTGTAGGACATATAGATGTCTCTCTGGGCTCAGATTGAAATAAAGCAGCATGCTCCCTTACATGGTCATCCATCTCTCAAACTTGTTAAGTCAGTCCTGGTAAAAAGGCTGTGGCATTTGCAGCCACATTTTGGAGATGGTCTTGTGCAACTTGTTAGAAAGCCAATCAAAGGCCCTTGGGGGGGTTACACAGGACTCCAGAACTGTGGTCTAGGACATAAGCTCAAAAATGTCCACTGTTTTGCTGGACATGGTGGTGCAAGCCATTAATCCCAGAATTTGGGAGGCTGAGGCAGGAGGATTGCTGCAAATGCAAGGCCTGTATGGGCTACATAGTGAGTTCAAGGCCCAGACTACAGTGTAAGACTCTGTTATGGCTTGCATCCAGATGTTCCCCCAAAGTGTCATATAGTCATAGATGGGAAGTTTCAAAGATGGCTGGATTAAGTTGTGTGAATGTAGATTAAGGGTGTGATGCTGGGATTAAGGTGTAGGGTAGGGTAATGGGAAGCCCCACCCTGGGTGTGGGTGGCATCAATCAATAGGCTTACAGCCTGGATGGAATATAAAGGGAGAGAGGAAAGGCAGGCCTGCTGCTGCTGCTGCTGTTGCTTGCTGCTCATTGCCTTCTGCCTGCCTTGCCATGCCAGGGACTGGACTGTTTCTCCTCTGTGATGCCCCTCTGTCACACTACCCTGTTTTAGAGCCAACCATGGACTGAAACTCTAAAAACTGTGAGCTAAATAAACCTTTCCCCCTTTAACTGTGAGTGTTGGGTATTTTGTCTTAGCAATGAGACAATTAAATGAGAAACCCTGTATCAAAAAAAATATATATATATAATACAGTCTTTTTCTACTCATTCCTTTACTCATACATATTGCTGCCAGGTTCATCTTCAAAATATTCCATGGTTCTCCATTTCCTGAGAGTAAAGTTTAACCCCTGAGTGTGGCATGAACCTCTGCCTTATCTTCCCTTAGGTATTACTGAAATCTTCTGGTCCAGTCCAATGACCTATACACTATCCTCCAAACACAGCCTCCTCTCATCAGCCTTCAGTAATGGTCCAACATTTCTACAATTCTGTCCTCACTATGCTTCCCAACCCCAGGGACTGACTCCTGCAGAACTTCCCATCCACACTTCATTCACTCACTTTATTATTAATCCTGTATCTGAATTCTTTCAAATGACTTACACGTGAGAACAAGCAGGTGACCTAAAATATGACAGCACTAACTTCCGTTTCCAGTAGAATACACTTACAACAAATACCTGATACTTCACAGAGCCTTCAAAAGATCTCTACTTATACATGCTACAAAAGTGGTACAATCTTTGGACCACTTACCTCCTGATGGGAGAAGAAGTCACGAGGAAGTTTTTCCAAAAATGAGGACAATGAAAAAGTGTTTTTTTTCCCCTGCACATCAATAACCTTGAGGTAGTCAGGAGAAGGGCTCAAAAAGGCATAAAGTGCTTCACTCTGACAGAGTCTTTCATCTGAAAGTAGATTCTGTAGAAAACAGATGATTAATTATTCCTACACAGGAAACTATCCAAGTGGCTGGGACCTACTACATGCAGGGCAAATTTACTTTCATCATAACAAAACCCCTCTTTTTTCCTCCCTGAAATAAATTATATAAAATCAATGCTCAAAGATACTAATGGCATACAGTCCTCTCCAGGGTCACTGGTATCACCCTCCCTAATGCTGGTGCTTGTGGGAGATACTGAAGACACTTCACTTTGTATTGCTTGGTGTAATAAAACCAGTGGCAGTTCCATACACCAATGGGGTAGCCGAAAAAGAAATCAAGAAAGTAATACAATAGCTACAAAAATAATAAATTATCTAGGAAGAAATTTAACCAAAAAGGTGAAAAAAATTCCATAATAAAAATTATAAACCAGTGAAAGAAAATGGAGAAGAGAAAACAAACAGGAAATATAGCCCACATTCATGTATAGAAAGAATGTTGTTAAAATTGTCCATACTGCTCAAGGTGATATATGGATTCAGTCTAATCCATATGAAAATACTAATGATATTCTTCACCAAAATTTTTTTTAAAAACCTAAAATTTTTATGGAACCATAGAACATCCCAAAGAGCCAAAGCCATTATGAGCAAAAAGAACAAAGCAGGATACATAATTTTACTTTTAAACGTACTGCAAAGCAAAAGAATTAAAAAAAACAACAACATACTGCAAAGCAATGGTAACCAAAACAGCACATGCTAGCATAAAAGTAGACACACAGACCAAAGGAATGGAACAGAGAATTCAGAAGTAAATCCACAAATTTAGAGCCAAATAAATTTTAATAAAGGTATCAAGGACATACATTAGATGGTCTTTTGAATAAATGGTGCTGGGAAAACAGTATATCCATATGCAAAAGAATGAGACTAGACTCCTGTGTTTTATGAAATATATAAAAAAATTCAAAGTGGATCAAAGACTTAAAAATAAGAACAAAAACTATAAACCTACTAAAAGAAAATATAGGGGAAATGTTTTGGGACATAGGTTTTGGCAAAGTTTTATGAATATAAATCCCAAAGCACAGTCAACAAAAGTAAAAATTGATAAATAGAAAGACATCAACTGAAAAGCTTCTGTAATAGCAAAAGAAATAATCTGCAGGCTATTCCAATAACAAGGGATTAACATCCAGAATGCACGAGGAACTCATGTAACAGCAAAAACCAAATAATGCAATTTAAATATGAGCAAATGATCTCCACATTTCTTAAAAGAAAATACAAATATGGCCAGCAAGTATATGAAAAAATGCTCAGCACTGCTAGTAATCATCAGAGAGATGTAAATCAAAACCACAGTGAGATATCATCTCAACTGACTTGGAATGGCTATTATTAAAAAAACAACCCCCCCCCCCAAAAAAACCCAAAAGTGCTGGCAATCATGCAAAGGGGAACTCTCATATGTTATTGGTGGGACTGTAAACTCATACAGCCATATGGAAAACAGCATGGAAGTTCTCCAAAAATCTAGAAATAGAACTACTATATGATCCAGCCATCCCATTAAGTATATATCCAAAGGAAAAGAAATCAGTATGCCAAAAAATTACTGCACATCTACATTTATTGCAGCACTACTCACAGTAGCCAAGACATAGAAGCCACCTAGGTATCCTTTGGTGGGTGTTAGGTAAAGAAATTATGATGTATATATACACTGTGGAATAATTCAGACATAAAAATCTGTTATTTGTGGCAAATATGGATGAACTTAGAGGACATATGTTAAATTCAGTAAGTCAGGCACAAAAAGATATGCATACTGTCACTTATTTGTGGAATTTAAAAATGTTATTCTCATAGAAGTAGACAGTAAAATAGTGGCTACCAGGTGCTGTGAAGGGGGAGGGATTAAAAGGATGGAGAGAGGACAGTTAACAAGTAGAGGGTACTTTTGGACAGGTAGCTTCAAATATTATGTGGTACAGTAGAATAAATATGGTTGACAACAGTTAATTGTGTATTGTAAAACAGGTGGTGAGAAAAATTTTCAACACAAATTATAAATGTTTTAGGTGGGTGTCATGTCAGTTACCCTGATTATTACTCAGAGTGTGTGTGTGCGTGTGTGTGCACACATGCATTCAAAGAAGGGAAAAGGAGAGTAAAAAGGCAATTCACAGAAAGGGAGAAAATATTTGCAGCACATAAGGTTGCCAAGGAACTTATATCCAAAACACATACAGAATGCCTACAAAGCAATATAGAATATAGAAAAAAGCAATATAGGTCTCCAAATGACCAATAAACAAATGGAATGGTAATCAACTTCACTGGTCATTAGCGAAATGCAAGTTAAAACTAAGTGGAGAGGCTTGAGATGAAGTTCAGTGGTAGATGCAGTGGTTATCATATGTGAGGTCCTAGGCTTGATCCCTGGCAAGAAGGAATATGTAAATTGATTGGCAAGGAATATGTAAATTGATTAAATAAAAGAAAACTATAATGAGGTACCACCACAATAGCTAAGAAAAAGGCAGAAAATAAGCATTTCTGAGGATGTGAGCAATAAGAACCCTTACAACTGCTAGTGAGAGTGCAAAAACTATTATAAGAATGGTGAAAAACTGAACAATTACAATCTTTGGGTATAACACAATATATGTTCATCAACAACAAGTAGTAGAAGTTTATAGAAGCATTCTTTATAAAAGCCTGAAACTGGAAACTAGCCAAATATTCATTAACAATAGTTTTGAGAGCTGTAGTGTGTTCGTTCACACAATGATAAATCTATAGAGTAACAAAAATCATCACCTACAATTAAAACAACACTAATCAAAGTTCACAAATTTTGTGAACATAATGGTGAATGAAACAAGATACACAAAGGAATTTTCACTGTATATTTCCATTTATATGAAGTTCAGAAGCGGTATTTATGTTGTTAAATGTCAGGACAGTGGTTATCTTTGGTGGGGGGGTCACTGATAGGAAGAAAGCCAGGGGGGATGTTAATAACAAGTTTGCATCGATTGTAAAACAAATGATAAAGTATCAAGCTCTTGGGATAATGATTATTTAACTCTAAATAACTAATTTATCCTCTCTTATTCAAAATTTTGTTTTGCTTACCTGTAAAAACTTATTTAATTGATTCTTTGACTTTTCCATAAACTTGTGATCTATAGATTTGAAAGGCAGCTTGCTAAGAGAAGGCAGCTGGACTTTTTTTAAAGAAGGGACACACTGTAGGGGCAGAAATTAAATGTTAGTGTTTTTATAGTATATTTTAATTTTTGAAAATATTTAGAACTAATCAAGAATATTTAAAACAATTCAAGTATCTTCATCCTGTACTTGTTCCTCTCAGATTTAAGAAGTTGAAAATCTATCCATTATAACCAGGCTCAAAGAATCTGGAGGAAAAACACGTTAGATGGAAAAAGTAAAAGGTCACTCTCAGACCTACAGATACCTAGAAGTGAAATAATCATGAAGCTGATAATGTGGATTTGTAATAAAATGCCCAGGAACCCATTAGGTATGGAAACATGGCTCAAAATGTTTTTCCTTTCTTTTTTTGGTACCAGAGATTAAACTCATGACCTTGTGCTTGAAAGGCAGGCACAGTGCCAGTGAGGTAAATCCTCGGCCTTCACAATGTTTTTCTATTAGAAGTGTTATTTCTAACATCACTGTAAACACTGGACTCTATTACTGCATTTTAGTGGCAAACTGTGGAATATAAATACATTAATAATAATGAAATATGTTAATAAAAAACAATACTTTGTCCTTTGTGGGTTAAGTCCTACACTCTATCAGTCACTGGGCTATAAGTGTGGCATGTGTTATTTCATCCTTACAATAGATCAGTGAAATTTTAGAGAAAACGAAGCAGGCAGCAAGAGTTAGAAGGGAAGATTAAAACCAGGAGGGTCCGAAAAGGCGCTTCCTATCCCAGCTGCCAAAAGGAAGGGTTCTCACAACAGGAAAATTCACACAGTCGGTAAACAGCAAGGGCAAAAGAAGAGCCACCAGTTCACAGGTGAGGACAGATGACACTGGATGGACAAAATGGTAAATGGGAAATTTCTAAAGTTTGCTTTTTCTAATGCTTCAGTGCAATTATTTCTTATTTTCTAAGTATATTTTGTTTTCCAACTATATTTTATTTCACCCCTAAGTTCTTTTTCCTACTTCTATTTTTAACAGCAATTAGACTGATCCTAAACTTTGGTTAAACAAAGGTTTATGTCACATGGAAAACTGCGCTTTTCTGTAGTGTCTACTTTACTTAAGTTTGGGAAGAATTTATTCTTACGTTGAGATGAACATTTTGTTTTCCACATGCTGGAGTAATCATAATCAATTCTGAAAATGCAGTAGTATGTATGACATTCAGTTTTGGCCACAACCCTTTGAAAAGCACTTGAAGAAGTTAGTGTTAAAAGATTTTAAAAACTCTGTAGAGTGTAAGTTAAAGGAAGTAAGACATATTTCATTTGCAAAAGGAAGTCTCAGAGGTGACCATAAGGTTTTGTCAGTATCAGTTCATTTCCAGTAAGAGAAAAATTAAAGTAGAAATGACTGAAGAGCTTTACATTGCTGGGGTAACCTCAGCACTCAGGAGGATCACCATGAGTTTGAGGCCAGCCTAGGCTACGCACTGAGTCCAAGGATGGCCTGAACTACACAGTGAGACCCTGTCTTACAAAAACAACAACAATAAAAAGAATTGACCTATATTAATGGTTTTCAAATTTTTACCAAAATCTAACAGCCAGAAATGCATGCTATGCTGTAAACCATAACGCATACACATTTATTCATATGTGTATATAAAACAGGAGTTAAGCAGTGCTTGTTATTACTACTACTAATAAAGTTAAGGGCCAGGGATTTAGTTCAGCAGCTCTGTGGTTGCCTTGCAAGTGCAAGGTCCTGAGTTTGATCCCTGATACAAAAAAAAAAAAATTAAAAAAATAAAGCCAAAAACCACATCAATGTTTTCTGTATGCCACATATTCTTCTAAATGCTTTGTTTACATTTATTCCTCTGATCCTCACAACAAGCTTTTGAGGTAGGCTGGGAGGGACTATTAGCATCTGTATTTCACTGATGAGGAAAAAGACAAAAAGACCGAGTGACAAATCCCAGGTCACAGTTAGGAAATGGAAGCACTGGAATCCAAAGCCAAGTGGTCTGGCTCTGGAGGCTTTGCTTTCAACCACTCCATTTTGTGCCTCCTTTGGCATCTGTGATGACATCCAGTATCTTCTATTCTCTTTCTATTGCTGCAACTCAAAATGGAAATTTCACTGCTCATTGCATAGTCTCAACTGGCAGCTTCACAACTACTGACTCTAGATGCTCTCTGGTCTCTTTCAGCTTTGGTGTTCTATAGCAATTGACTATCCTAAAGGATTTAGCTGGACTAGGTGGTTTGATTTATGAGTAATTTCCAAATGTCAGGCTGAAAATTCCACTGTGCCAGCATTAATCAGTTTCCTTATGCGTTAAATCTGAAATGAACTGTTGAATGTCTTCATGCTCAGTAATTTTAGAATCCTGTTTTCATGAGTATTCATACCTCACTAAGTTTTCGGTGTAAATTCTGAAACTCACTGAGCCTTCTTGGGACAGTCCAGTTCTTAGTTTCAATTCCTCCAACTTCTTGTAGGCTGACCATGACGAAGTAACAAGGCATTTGCTCACCATTCTCTTCCGTAACCTTGAAAAAGAAATCAAAATCAGTAAAAACAGAAAGCAAAAGACACCACAAACAGATATAATAGAGATTTTAAAATGTACCCTGAGAGTGTCCCTTCCTAGTGTGTTCTGAATGATGTCCTACATAATCTCTGGGATTATGGATATAATGGATTTTATTCCAGCAATTAGGTTATATAACGTGGCACAGTAGGCCTTAGAATTAGAGGATTACCTAGTGGGTTCTAACAGAAAACACTGGAAGCCCAAGAAAGAAACTGGTAAGAAAACAAATACTCCGTTATCTACAACCAGAAAGGACCAGGCGGATATTGACCAGACTGGTTTCTGGCGTTCCCATCCGCTTGCGAGAAGAAATTTTCTTGTTATCCAAATTCTGTGTCTCTGTGTATTTCTTTCTAAGATTTCCGTAACATTTGGTGTGTTGGCCGGGAATCTGGAATGAAATAGCCCTTTTGGGCATCGGCCCAAAGCCCACTGGAGGGAGCGGCTCTCTGTCTCCTTGAGAGGAAAGGTGTGCCCCTGGGACTAATTTCCTAGGCTCCCCAACAGGACACAGAGATCCGCTCACCACTGGAGGTTTGCCTGAACCTGAGAAGGAGACTACAGAAGGAGGACTGCTGCTCTTGGTGTCTGTCTGTCTCTTTCCTTTGCTGGATTTGCTTTTCGGCCCTACCGAGGTCCCGAGTCACGCGGAACACAACAAATCGCCCCGATGCAGACAGGCAGGTCTGCCTACGCCCCACCGAGGTCCCGAGTGGCACAGAACACGCTGAATCAGCCCAGTACAGACAGGCAGGTCTGTGCACATCCTACCGAGGTCCCGAGTCTCGTGGAAGAAACCAAATCACCCCGCTGCAGACAGGCAGCCACCTGGTTCCACACTACAAAGATGCAGAGGACACCAGACCACCAGACCAAGGTACTGAGTCCCACTG